TGTCTCCTCCAGGTATTTAGGGAGATATTTCAGCCATGAAGTCTCCAGATCAAACTGTAGGAAGAGCCGTGTACAGATGGCATCAATTAGGTTTGGAAGAAGACTAAACAGAACTGAAGGGGCTACTGGTCAGTTCCCTTCAAGAGATGATAATGGACGTTTACATACTTGCAAACATTACTTACATGTCGGCCTATCAGTTGGCTTCAAGAGGAATCGAGGCCCATTACCATGGATCTGACCATTGCTGTGATGTCTGCTAATGCTCCTTGAGGCTTTAATGGGTTTAACCCTGATGGTGACTGTTGGGATTAGGTCTTCTTGGGATTAATGGGAGCTTTGAGCTTTGATTAGAGTCTCAGGTGACCAATACAGATGGACTGTCAGATTCATTCTGGTAAATACTGGTATTGCTTTTGAAGACAGTTTATCCTTGAGACTGACCATGCAGTAAAAAGCAATGCATACATCTGTCTTTGTCAGGGTTTTACACAACTCAGAAATGTGCGTCCAGTATACACAGATTTATAGAATAGACACCGAAAGAAAATGTTACGTCCCAAGGGACACAATAATATTCATTGAACCAAATTCTTGACAAGAAATGCAAAGGTCCTTTAAAGTACGTACCAAATCTTACAGTAAAGTACACTGAACCATTTCATTTCTTTACAGGACCTTCATATTTCCTGTAGGGGGCACAGGTGGCCCAGTGGTCTAAGGCACCACAATTCGCTGCGCAGAGTTGCGTCCCTTGGGCACGCCAGAAGCCTATGATCCTGGCTTCGAATCCCGGTTCGCCCCGATTATGTTTCTAGGTTTGTCAGCACCATACCTGTGCTCGTGGTTTTCACCCAAGTGGTAAACGTCCCAGACCTGCATCACTTCGGGCTTTCCTCCCACATTAAGCTGACATGCCGTGATATAACTGGAATAGTGTTAAAAGCGGCGTTAAACCCAACTCACTCACTCACTCACTCATATTTCCTGTAAGGACCTGTGAAACTAGTTATTGAGGGTCCCCTTGACCCAGCTTTATTCAATAAAACATGTTCAAAACTTTTAATTTCTCTTTGAGTTCCTTGTCTCTATGAAACTGTTTCAGGATATCTTTGCACTGCAATTAGTATGTAGAGCCAGAAGTAGTAGAATCTATAGTTCAGATTGAAAGCATTGGGATTAATAATTGATTAAATTTCAGTCTGAATTGTAATGAATCCTTACTGTTTTGCTTTTTATATTTTCAAATATGTCATTGGATGGTTATAGCTAGCGGAACCAGTCCTGTTTTCACTCCTGATATGTAAGAAGTATACATGTATTTCACAGGCTCAAATTTCTGGAAGATTGAGATTGATTTTCAGAGTACTGGCTTTACTTACCTAAACTAAGCAGGCCCTGTTCACTGTAGACATTACAGTGTAATCAGTACCACTGTCATAACTCATGTACTTTAAGATAGATTTATGAGCATGATAACGCTTAGTGCTGAGAAAGTATTATTAAATAGGGCCTAGGCTGTCTTAATCCTCTTTGTCATATGACAGACTTTTCATGTTGACTGGGCAGGACAATAATCAAGGGCTATGACATATGCATATGGATGTATCAGATCTGAAATATATTTGAGTTTCTTTGAAACATTTCGATCACTCTGCATGTTTTGACCTGTGAAGATCCGGGGTAGAATGGGCCTTCAGCAACCCATGCTTGCCATAAAAGGTGACTATGCTTGTAGGAAGAGGCGACTAACGGGATCTGGTAGTCACTCTTGCTGACTTGGTTGATGCATGACAATTGCGTGGATTGATGCTCGTGATGTCAATCACTGGATTGTCTGGTCCAGACTCGATTATTTACAGACCACTGTGATATAGCTGGAATATTGCTGACTGTGGTGTTAAACAACAAACTGAAATGCATGTTGTGTGATTTGATACTGATGTATCCAACCTGAAATATATTTGAGTTTCATTGAATCATTGTGAGCACTCGGCATGTTTAGCAGGTTGTGTGTTTTTAACCCAGGATTCAAGTGTTGACATTATGGCCATCAAGTGTGAAAGTTCTGACCTTGCATTGTATGGAATTTGTCCTAGACTGCCGGCAGAGCGCTGTTTGACAGACATGACATTATTCTAGTACAGTAACCTTGCTACACCCATGGCACAGTGCTATAACAGGCCATTGTGCAAACTGTACATTATGGGTTTTGTATATATGTTAACATTATGTATTTGAGAAAGTTCTGAGATGTAGATTAACCTAAATTTTATCATTTAGAGATGGAGGACTGTGTGATTACATATAAGAATGAGCCCCTGTCATTTTTCCTCCAGACAATCAGGCCATTTTACCAAATATGTTGATATGCTATGAACCTTGTTGACATTTTGTTTACTGGAAAAAGTATGTTTCGCCAACAACAGAAGTTATGCCAGGTAAAATCACCATCTATTCTTGAAAAGAATATCACGGCAATACTGTTACTGTGGCATTAACCGAACTCACTCACTCCCTCAGATGGTCATGTTATGGCTAAAATATTGCCGATGTGACTTTAAATATTAACTCACTCACTCACTCAGATAAATACTGCCTATAATATGGAGTTATTCCCTGCATAACGTTTCCCAAGTGTAGATTTATGATAGTGTTTATCAAGCAGCAGTAAAACAATCCAGCCCGAAGTGTATGTAATTGATTTACCATTGTGTTGTGTGAAGATCCTATCAAGGAGCTGTGAATGAAGATATGAAGGCACTACACACAATGGACCAAAGTACAAGCACTCTCAAGCCCTGATGTGTCACTGAAATACACACGATGTACAACCCTCTTGTTTACACAATACTGTACAAAATTTGGTCAGTTACTCACCTTCGAATGTGTATATGTGTGATGTAACCATGGAAACATCGTGTAAACACAATAGTCTTTGAAATTCTTTATTTACATGTGTAGTGCCCACTTAGTTTGAAAACAAAATGGACATTGATAAAGCAACTCTGACGTAGGTATTGGGTTTCAGGTAAATGGCGATTTGTTCCGGCTGTGAGGTTCCGTTACACGTAACGGGCAGAAACATGGTTACATAGTCCGCCTTGATAGGAGTGCCGCCTATCGGTACAGATAACCAGGGGTAAATTATAGTTCTGTATCTTTGGGAGTGAGTAATCGTGTTGTAAGTACTTGGGCGTGTGTCACGATGCTGTTGTATGACGTGGAGCAGAACGGGAGATGAAGACCTGATTCAAGGCTTGTTGATGACATTCACCACAGAAAACATCCATGGGTTCAGTCAAGTGTGGTGTCACAGAGTTGTGAACGAGCAACACTTATCATTATATGATAACAGTATAATACCACACGCGAGATTGTTGATGAATTCAACACACAGATGTACTGCTCAGAAGTTAAAGATCGTTCACAATTGGAAGGTTTTGTGTTGCAATAACCACCAACCATGATTAACTAGGGTCGTAAGGGTAAAAACGGGTGTTCTTAAGCTTCCTTTGAATAGTATATATCCCAATTATGTTTCACTTGACATGATGCAATGAAGTCGGAATATTTATGTATATTGTGTCTCACAAAATTGTGAAGTTTTGACAGTAAAAATGTTAATGCCCTTAAGTTGATGAGTCAAGAGCTGCTGTATACATTAAGCTGTTTTTAAGTTAAAACATCAGCATTCCTTCACAAAAGCCCTGTGACTGTATGGATTCTGGAGCAGGTCACCAGTAACTCATGTTTTTTAGGATGTAGATGAGGGGTGGTTAAAATGGCTGACTCATCATATTCCCATGATGTCACAAGGAATGTTCCCTGGCTGTTAGTTTTTTTCTCTGATTCAGACATACGTGACGCTTGCCAGGGTATATGTGTAATCACACACATGATAAAACCACTCAAAAAGATAAGATGTTTCATACACTTGACTTCTTCGAGAAAATTACCAATGAAGTAGTTCATGCTTTTTGTTCACGTTTAGAATGAGTTATCAGACCACCTCTAGACACTTATCACCGTCTAGCATAGTTCCACATCCAGGCTAGTACCTCACCTATAGAAATGGTTCAAGAAATAATGTTTTATGAAGACATGTCGTGTGAATCCACTATTTGATGTATGACAACTTAACTGACAGGTCTCAAGTAGGTAGGAGTGCCTGGCTTACGTTGACAACTGATCAGGGCATTTTGTGGACATGTTGCAAGTTCTCGTTATTCTTGACAGCATATACAACGTTTGCTACAAACTGCACAACACATCAAGATACATAGCTGTTGAATATAATGTTTAAACAAACTACAAAAACCAAAATGCAGATAACTGACTGATCACACTGATAGTCGGACATCAGGAGACACTTCCAAAATGCCAGATGTAAGTCAGTGGTTTCTGCTTCAGACTTTGTAATTGTATAAACTTTAATTAACTTCAACTTTTGTTCAGCTCATTCATTCCATTGAAGAGTTTTTTGTACACTGTGGGACCTTTGCACTTAATCAGAAGTTTAAAGTTTGAATGTTCCACAATAGTGGTGATAATATCATTCGTATGCTACTCAACATTTACTAAGGACCAAAATCATCTTCGAGGTGTGGTCCTTAGTAAATGTTGAGTACCCGGTAGGATATTGCAATATGGCTGTTATTGAACCATCACATCACAATCATGATATTGCGATCATTATGATACTCCAACATCCATGACCGTAATGGAATAATTAAATATTCAGATAGTCTCAGCTTATCCCCGTGGGAATTCTGGATTAGACAGGTCCCCAGTAACCCATGCTGGTTATAAAGCGGACCAAGTGGATAGATGACCTTGTCGGTTCCCTGATTGATGAGGACGTTTCTAATGATATCAACCACTGATTTGTCTGACCCAGACTTTATTATTTACAGGCCACTGTGGTGATAGGCTAAATATTGCTGCATAATAATGGAGACTTTTTTAATATGATTTTGAGATATGGTTTTGTGTTTCAGTGACCCTCGACCTGCGTACCAGAATTTACATAGGGTAGTGGATGACGACGCCTCTATTCGACAACTCAACTGGGATCTGCTCATCAAGAACATCCGCGCTTACTATCTGGTGAGTCTTTCTTGTTGGGTTTGTGTCACACAGACTTAGTAATGTCCCAAAATGGACAGACACAGAAGAGGTCAGGTTAGAAACAACTGGACATTGCTTCCAAAGAGATGTCAATGCTCTATACATTGTAAGTGGTTATGTCAAGAAAACTGCTTCCTATCATTGTTAGCATGTAAAAGTGTATCATATGATTCAAAGACTGATTGGTTTTAATTAGAATTTCAATTGGATTATTCTTGCTGAAATTCACATACAAAGCCAGTCAGTGTTGTGTGGGAGTTAAAGCTTTGTGTTATACCAGTTATGTCTCCTCCATGTAGCAGACACATTTTCATGAGACATGGGATGAGGGATTCATCAATGGTTCCTTGATGCCATTTCAATGAACTACTACATTTTGGAAGAAAGATACTAGTCCTTAAACGTTTCACATATCTTGGACTACATGTAACCATGTCAGTTTGTGACTTTAGCCACTTTTCCGAAGCCCAAGTCTCGTAAAATTCTGTTTGGTCTCATAACCTCCCCAATAATAGTCCAGACTAAAATCTACTGAAAATAATGTTGAGAGCCATGTTCAGGCTTATAAGTCGACTCAAAAGACTTTGGCACAGATTGCCATGTCCAACTTAGGCAGCCAACATATTTCTTTGGATGGCATGGTGAATAAGAAATAACAGCAATCATGAGAAGTCAAGAAATATTTGCCAACTCAGCACTTTTTGAAAATGTCTGACAGTGCAAGTGTAGCATCCCAACTGTATTGGTGTCCTCCCTCCCGTCATCCCACATCCTAAGTTGTGTCAACTGTCACGGCAATGATATTTCCCCTGCTCTGTCCTGAACGTTGTCTGAGACATCGACCTGATGTTGGGGATGTTGATATTGAAACCGAAGATGTTCCAGTGGGTTACCATGGGAGTTGTAGATAAAGCGGTGATGCCTGGAGAGGCATTATCTACCTGATGGATCCAGTCAAGGCAGAATGGCTGCCATGGTATCTTATAATTATAATTGATGGGGATCAATAATATACCTGTTTCTTGTGACAATATCATGAATTAATTATGTAGGAACATGATGTTTACACATTCTTGAAGAAATACAAATGGAAGACACTTGATGGGATGTTTTAAGTGTCATTTTATATGTGATAAATGTTTTCTGTCATTTTTTTGTTTTTGTGAGATATTCATGATGAAAGGAAAGCGATGGGAGAATAGACTGACAGTTTATGAAAATATTTTCAATTTTGTCTTTTGTCAAATTGTCTTATAATAGAAAGAAACCATCAGAAACTCTTTTTCAGATATTGATAAAATATAAACCTGATAAATTATAATAGACTTGTTTAGGTTTTTAGGTGGTTTTTTTATACAGGGTCTGTATGAGCTATTAGTTTGACAATAAGTAGAATGTGTCATGGTGGTAATAGCATGGGTTTCTGTTGACTTGAATAATGGTAGTTTTTGACAGGACATTCAGCCGTTTGGCAGCATGATCTGAAGGATGTAGTTTTGTCATAGTATGGTGTTGTCAGGGCAGTCACTGTTTTCCTTTCCCACCAGATAGTGATGACGGGAATGTCAGTCAGTCAGTGGTGCAGATAGCCCAGATAGGTGCTGCAATCATACAGGGAACACTTGTCCAGGGTTATCATTTTATGGGGTCATAATATGCCAAAATTTCTGTCCACGACACTTTGTATCAATATGTCCCTGTTGACGATCTTGTGTCATAAAAGTGTGATATCTGAAGCCCAATAGTGGTGGCATTTCACTCGTCCACCCATGTTGTCTCGAGGGACAAACATGGCTGCCTTGCAGACCCTGGCTCATATTGATGATGCTGTAATTCAAGTGTGGGTAACTTCATATTGGGTGACCCACGCCCAATAAGAGATTATTGTGACAGGTTATTTACAGAACATGTTTTCAGTAGGCAATAAATGCAGGCTCAGTGTCTGTGTTGTAATACAATCTGTACAGGCCAGATGTCGACATTGTATTACAATCTGTACAGGCTAGATGTGAATGTATTATAATCTGTACAGGCTAGATGTGAACATTGTATTACAATCTGTACAGGCTAGATGTGAATGTATTATAATCTGTACAGGCTAGATGTGAATGTATTATAATCTGTATAGGCTAGATGTAAACGTATTACACTATTCAGGCTAGATGTTAATGTGTTACAATCGGTACAGGCTAGATGTGAATGTATTACAATCTGTACAGGCTAGATGTCAATGTATTACAATCTGTACAGGCTAGATGTCAATGTATTACAATCTGTACAGGCTAGATGTAAACGTATTACACTCTGTTCAGGCTAGATGTCAATGTATTACAATCTGTACAGGCTAGATGTGAATGTATTACAATCTGTACAGGCTAGATGTGAATGTATTACAATCTGTACAGGCTAGATGTGAATGTATTACAATCTGTACAGGCTAGATGTGAATGTATTACAATCTGTACAGGCTAGATGTAAACGTATTACACTCTGTTCAGGCTAGATGTCAATGTATTACACTCTGTTCAGGCTAGATGTCAATGTATTACAATCTGTACAGGCTAGATGTGAATGTATTACAATCTGTACAGGCTAGGTGTAAATGTGTTACAATCTGTACAGGCTAGATGTCAATGTATTACAATCTGTACAGGCTAGATGTCAATGTATTACAATCTGTACAGGCTAGATGTCAATGTGTTACAATCTGTACAGGCTAGATGTCAATGTATTACAATCTGTACAGGCTAGATGTAAACGTATTACACTCTATTCAGGCTAGATGTCAATGTATTCCCTTCTGTGTAGGCTCAATGTCTCTGTTGTTATCATCCTTCAAAGCTGACAACAATATGCTATGATGTAGTATATGCATGCTACCAGGTGTCAAATCTAGCACAACAATCGCTTCAAGACCGGGTGTCACTACAACCTGTTCAGGCTAGGTGTAAACATCCTACCAAATGTAATGGCCTGTTTTGCATCTTGCCTGAACTCTGATCCACTAAGAATGGAGGCCTGTATGGAGGGTCAGCTTTGACAGGCAAGTAATAAGGGGGATATTGAATGCCCTGTATGAATGGTGAACCAGTGCAGGGCTTTAATCCTGTTATTGATTGTGTTATGGGACTGTTGGGCTGGGAGTCGTATAGCAATGGGAGCTGGTCAGGGTTGAAATAAAGCATTTAAACATGGGCATAAACGTCTGCTGTCTCAAGCATACATTATAGTCCGTGACTAGCAGACTCATTTTGACCAACTTAGACCAATCATTATATATGTGCAAATTATTATCGTAATGCTTGTACGTTACAATAAATTTTCTTCGGGTTCGAGTGATTTCTAATATGCACTTGTTGGTGTGCTTACCGGGCTAAAGTGTGTCACATGTCCCTTAGTTCAAAAGTTCAGTTACAACAAGTGGGACAAAGCACTTTTGTGCATTATTCACTGGTGAGTTCATGTAGTGAGTTCATGCATTTGATCAGTAAACAAAACACTGTAATAAAATACCCAGGTGGCAAGCTGGACAAGTTACATTGGGTAACTTACTCTGTGTTTTACTATTGGGTTTTAAAATGTTTTTGGGTTGTAGGGTAATTACTTTATGGTGATTTAATTTTCATATTTTAATGAAGTTTGTAGCTTTTGTCTAGCTCTGAATAAAAAAATCTCAGTCTGTGCCCAAAATATATTTTGAATTAATATCTATGAGGTGAGGTGAAATTGGGTTTAACATCGGGTCCAAGATTATTGCACTTACATAGCGACATGCATGTACGTGTGTGTGTTTGTGTGGCTGCTTGTACTAGTCCGGACTGATGCCGATTTATAGTGCTAGCTCACTGAGATACCATGCCGCAGTTGAACATGAATACCCCATTCAGACACAGTATACTGACTTCGAGCTGACCAGTCCTTGTTTTAGCCCCTTAATGCCGAGCCCCAGACAGGATAAGAAGCACCATCTTTTAATGTCTTTTGGTATGACACGGCCGGGGATCAAACAATTAGATACACGGGTGGGTCTAGGCCTGATAGACTTGACAAATCTTGTCATTTATAATTTCTAATCAATTACATGATACAGAACATGCAGAATGGAGCATCTGTTATCCCAATGTATTATTCAGTAGTCTGTGGTGTGTATCTTGTCAGAGACATAAGCTAGCTTTCCGTTAGGTAGTGAGTGCTTATCCTGTGGAGTGACAGATAATCTGTCTAGTCCAATTAGATTGGGTCCGGCCCATCTGTAAGAGGAATATTATGTGTCCTAGGTACACTGTCACAACGTGTGCAGGCAGGTGACTGGGTGTGGGCGACGTCATATCATCTACAGATTGCAGTGAGATTTACTGCTCAGTGTTTATGTTATCAATTGCATTGACCCATGGGAATTCTGGGTAAGAATATAGGTGCCCAGCAACCTAAGTTTTCGTAAGAGTTGAGTAAATTGTCAGGCTCAGTGAGTCGGTTTATGCATGTCATCAAGCTTTCATAAGAGTTGAGTAAATTGTCAGGCTCAGTGAGACGGTTTATGCATGTCATCAAGCTTTCGTAAGAGTTGAGTAAATTGTCAGGCTCAGTGAGTCGGTTTATGCATGTCATCAAGCTTTCGTAAGAGTTGAGTAAATTGTCAGGCTCAGTGAGTCGGTTTATGCATGTCATCAAGCTTTCGTAAGAGTTGAATAAATTGTCAGGCTCAGTGAGTTTGTTGATGCATGGCATCATATCCAGATTGGGTGGATCCGTGCTCATGTTGCCATCCACTGGATTAACTGGTCCAGACTTGATTATTTGCAGACTGCCTCATATAGCAGAGTGCGGCATTGAACAACAAACAAATACCATCTAGTCTTGTAGTAGTACCACACCTAGCCTATATAAGTGATTCAAGAGATAAAGAATTATGAAGACATGTCATGTCAATTCACAATTCACAAATTATTTGTGATGTTAAACAACAAATAAACACAGCG